CTGGAAGTACCTGGGATTCCAATTCGACGGGCGCTCATACGTCTTTCGTTCCCGGCCTCGCGACGGCCCCATTTGTATTCACGCAACTTATCAAGCAGCTCGCCCGCCGCTGGCGGGCCCTCGGGGTACGAGTCATCCCGTACGTTGACGACATCATATTTTTTTGTCACACGGAAGCAAATGCTCGAACTACGTGTCAGATGGTGGTGGAGGACCTCAACAAGGCGGGGCTAGTCATTAATTCTAAGAAGTCGCATCTGCAACCCACCCAGCAGCTGCGCTTTCTGGGTGTCGAACTGGATACTAAGCACGGCCAGTTCTCCATTGGTCCCGAGCGGCGTACATCGTTACGCTCGACCATTCAAGAACTTTGCATGGCAGGCAGAGCCAAGCACAAGGTCCCGATCCGCCATGTAGCGAGGGTCACTGGCATGCTCGCTTCGATGTCACTTGCCATCGGCGCAACTGCGCAGGCATTTAGCCAGAACCTGCTGCTGAAAAATGGAAGGAGTTCTATGGGCTCTCCAAACGTTCGCGGGAGGGATCCACAACCGACACGTCCTAGCCAGAACTGACAACCAAGGCGTATTCTTCATTCTTCGCAAAGGCGGCTCTCGAAGCCCTAGTCTCACCACAACATGCAGAGCCATTATTCAAAGGTGCATGGCCTCGAGGATTCGCCTGACGGTCGAATGGATCCCACGCGAGCTCAACACACGAGCGGACGAACTCTCCAAGATGATCGATCGAGACGACTACTCAATTAAAGCACCGTGGTTCCGCCTCATTGAGCGGCGTTTGGGACCGCACTCCATCGATCTATTCGCCAATGCAAGCAACACACAGTTAGCCCGCTTCTGTTCCAAAACACCTCACTAGGACGCAGAGGCTACCGACGCCTTCTCAATATCATGGAACGCTGAGCACGGTTATGCTTTCCCACCACCACACCTCATCCCAGCAGTGCTTCACCACGCCCAACGGACACGAGCATCGCTCACGCTCGTAGTGCCTCATTGGCCAGGGGCAAGCTGGTGGCCGTTGCTACAAACCACCCCACCGAAGTGGGCCCCTTGCATCCACCTCACCCATGGGAGTCAGTGCCTCACCGCGGGCACCCACACTTGTGCCTTCTCTGGCGAAGGAATGCCTCATAGCCCTATTCTCGCTTTACGAGTGTCGTTCGCTACCTGACCTCTCACGAACCTGGTGCAGGATTACTTGAGAGGCTCAAGCAAGAATTGCTCCGTATAACTGCGCAAACACGGGCCGACTCTACGATTCGCACCTACGAGCCGTACTGGGCCAAGTTCCGCGCGTTCTGCAAACGAGTCAAGCTACAGTTTCTGCCATGCACAAACATGACGCTCGCATTATACCTGGTCCATGCGATTCAACAAAAAGCCACAGTATCAGTGATACAACTGACATGCTCGACAGCCCGCTTCGCACATCGGATGATCGGGGCCCCGTGCCCATCAACTGGGCCGTTCACATCCCAAGTGCGGGAATTCGCCAAGCGGCATTGCCCGCGCCCCCGACGACTCAAAGAGCCCATCTCTTTGCACCAAGTCCACGAAATGGCGTCGGAATACCTGGAGTCAAACAACCCCGGCGAGTTCCAGAAGGGACTCATCCCAATCCTAATGTACGCCGGCCTTCTACGCTACTCGGACCTCGTCGAAATTAAGTGGCACGACATCCAGTTCGAGGAAGACGCCATGTGGCTCTTTATTCCCCGCTCAAAGACTGACCAGGCAGGAGAAGGTGCATGGGTTCCAGTAGCAGCAAGCTCAGGTCCCTTCTGCCCCGTACGGTGCACCAAGCGCTTCATCCAATTGGCGAGATACAACCATGCACAAAGAGGCCCGCTCATATGAGTTTTCGGTCAAGACACCACGAGTTTCGGCACTGCCGCCACTTCACCATCCTACACAACAATCCGTTTCTGGTGCAAGGAGGCATTCCAAAAGATCGGCTTAGGTCTCGAGCATCTCGGCACCCACTCCTTTCGCAAAGGCGCAGCCACTGCCGCCGCCAACTCAGGAGTACCAGATCGCTTTTTGAAACAGTTGGGACGGTGGCGCAGCGATACTGCCAAGGAGATGTACATCACCCCGGCGGTCGATCAGCTGGTCGAAGCGTCTCGACACGTTCAAGACCCGGCACGAGCCTCGTCACCAGTGCAACACTCAGCGGCCCTGATGCGACGACGACAACCTCCACTGCACATGTCTCAGAAGACCCATTTGAAATGAGACGATGCCATTGCTACATGAAAGAAAGCAAGCTTTATAAATATGAATATTTTTAAAAAGTGTAGCGCTTTTCAAAATTTCGTGTTTTGAAAGCGAAGCAGTCTGTAATGTAGGAATGGGCAGCGACGAACCGCGCTATACGCCCGTTTTGGAGTACAAAACGTGGGCTGGAGGTCATTTCCCTCCACCCACGTCTCTCATTTTCAAACGGTTTAGCCGATTTTTCCCGCCCACCCACCCCTTGAAATGTGTTAGCACATTAGTCTGATAGGCTGCTTGGATTTCAAATTGTACTAAACCCATTTGAAATGAGACGATGCCATTGCTACATGAAAGAAAGCAAGCTTTCTCAATTGAATTGCATTGCTACAGTAACCACGACTATTGCTATTCTTGACAGTTACTGTGCTGCATCGCGTAACTTCCAAGTGCGGTTACTGGGCAGTCAAGGGTCACGATCGTTGACTGTCTTCAACTGTTGACCTTCGGGTGACCCTTCGACCTTCCGCATGAGCTATTGCGATAATGATACTGGCGCGTAGCTTCGTTATGGAGTGACGCGCAAGTGGAGAGCCTTCGAGAATATTATTGTAACCTTTAGGTTATTCCAACAATATGTAGGTTACGAGCGGTCAGTCAACAAAAACATGTGGTAATGTGTGATTTAGACATAAGGCACTTGGCATGCAAGTAAGTACAGAACGGAGTCGACGAAAGGTCATTCCTTTCTACAAGCTGCCTTTTGAATAATCGAATGTGTTCAAAAAATCCTCTAGATGTAGATTCAACTGCTCAAGGGACATTCTCACACCCAACTATTTTAAGAAGGAAACAGTCAATGATTAACATAACTAATGTTGCAGTTGCTATAAGCGTTGTATCTTATACTGTACTTGCCAATGTGCAGGAAGGATGTTGCAGCTGCCCTTCCGCGCTGACTTGATGTGTTATTCCATCCTTCCGATTTGCCTTCCATTTCGCGCTGACTCACACGTGTGAATCCCGTCGCACATATTCAACTCTCGTTTGGTGATTTTCTCACCTCGAACCTCTACAGTTGGTCTGGATTTTTTCCGAACCTCACACATCGCTTGACGACTTTCACACACAAGCCTCAGCCTCAGACCTCAGCGGCTTTGACTCGCGTCTATTCTTGGTTTTGACTATCCTATAAGTAGCCATTGACTCTCCTACCATTTCACTCACCAACAGCTTCCATTCCACTTTCTTCACCCAAGGCTTCCTAGTCACTCACGCTTCCACTTTCGCCACTGAGAAGATCGCAGTTCGATACAGATCCAGCCATGGCCGCAGTCAGAGCGCTCGTCCTCGCGTGCGTGCTCCTCCTCGTGTCGACGTCCGCCTTGGCGCAGCGTGGTCCGCCTGGCGGAGGTCCTCCCGGCGGTCAGCGCGGAGGCCCTGGCGCCGGTTCCGGCGGACCCGGCGGACCCGGCGGTCCCGACGGTCCCGGTGGTCCCGGCGGTCGCGACGGTCCCGGCGGGCCTGGCGGACCGCGCGGTCCTCCGCTGAACCTCACCGCCGTCGGGAATCTGACGGCCGATATCGGCGCGCAGCTCGCCAACTGCACCGTGGATCAGAAAACCCTCAACGGCAGCTTCCACCTCGCCGTCTTCAAGAATTCTACCGGAAATTACAACCTTCTCGTCGAAGCTCTCCTTGTCGATGCGGCGGGCGGTCCGCCCGACTCGCTGGCGATCGTGAAGGGCGCCGTGTGCGACGCCACCGCGACGGACGTGCTCGCGCTGCCGCTCGCCGCGGCGGACTGGCAGCAGCGCGCGGGGTGGTGGCTGCTGCACGCGGAGGCGCGCCTCGACGCGTTCCTCGAGAACGCGGACGCCGCCACCCTCGACGCGCTGCTCGCCGTGCTCCCCACCGCCTCGCCTCCGCCCACCAGCAGCGGCGGCGCGCGCAACGGCGGAGGCAGCAGCGCCGGCGGAGGCGGCGCCAGCGGGGGCAGCGCGGGGGGCGCGCGGAACGGGCAGGGCGGGAGGCGCATGGGGCGGGAGCTGCTGATGGGATCATTCGGCCGCGCGGCCAGGCAGGGGGGACAGAAGCAGGGGGGACAGAAGCAACAGGGGGGAGCGCAGCAGGCGCCTGCAGTGAGCGGGTATGCTGTGCTGGCGGGCAGCAGCGCAGCAGGTGTGACGTGGGGCGGGCAGCTCATGGGCGCCAAGATGCCCGCCGCTGCTGTTTAAAGCCTGTGTCTCTCATCACTGCCGCTGCTGCTTGACGTGGCGATGGTTGACAGTCATTGCCGCCGCTGCTGCTGCTGGTTTGGGCGTTGGAACCCAGCATGTTGCAGCTGCTCTGGATCATGGGCAGCTGGAGTAGCTAAATTAGGTCAACGCATCAGGGGCAGGAATGCTGGCAAGGAATTAAAGAACACCAGTTGACTTGCCAGTCTTCCTACCCCTGATTGATCTGTTGAAATTCGAAGGAATGGTGATCAGTGTCATTTGTGTTTGTCTGTGTGCTAGTAGTATTTATAAAATTATTCCATTCTCTGTTTCCCTTGGTGTCAGACATGTTTTGAGATTGCAATGCAAGTCTTGAGATAAATATATTTGCCAAGCAACGAATTTGACAAAGAAAAAGAAACACCTTCGACAATCAAGCCAAATGTCCTTCAGACAAGATTCTAGTGGCAGCAGAGGAAGGTTGCATGCAGAAGCGGGGAGCTGTACTGGCAGCAACGATAACGCTGAGGAATGGCTGAGGCAGTCAAGCCAAATGACCCTTTGACAAGATTCCCATGCCAGCAGCAGAGCCAGGTTGGTGGCGGCGCAGCACTAGCAGGTGGAAGAGGAGAGCTGCAGTGGCAGCAATGAAAGCACTGCCAGGGAGCAGATGGAGGGAAGGAAGGGAAAGGGAGGTGGAACAGAGGTGGGGAAGGTGCAAAGGATAGCCAGCAGAGGCAGGCTGGTGGTGGTGCAGCACTCGCATGTGGAAGTGGAGAGCTGCAGTGGCAGCAATGACAGCACTGCCAGGGAGGAGATGGAGGGAAGGGAAGCAAAGAGTAAAGTGTGAGGTACGCACAGGACAGGAATACAAAGGAGGGCAGGGGACAAAGGAGGGTAGGGGACAAAGGAGGGCAGGGGACAAAGGAGGGCAGGGGACAAAGGAGGGCAGGGGACAAAGGAGGGCAGAGGACAAAGGAGGGCAGGGGACAAAGGATTTGAAGTGAAGTGCACACAGAGTGCACCACATTCATGTAGCACATGGCACCAATGCCACATTCATGTAGCACATGGCACCAATGCCACATTCATGTAGCACATGGCACCAATGCCACATTCACTTCAGACACTGGCATGATGCTTAAGGTGACTTCTGGGTCGCCTCAGATGCAAGGCGCACAGGACTCGAACAACCGTGTCGACAGTCACAAGCATGTGAAGCACTGGTGTCATGCGTAAGTAACACACCATGTTTTCTGAGGGCACAAGTAATCCACTGGTTTAGAAGCAGAATGGCACACCACCGGGTTTGGGGGCAACGAGAGGGGTGTAATAGGTCAACGTGAACAAGCATGCCATCGGGCTTACCTGACAGCAACCGGGGCGTGGTAGCCGTATTGGGAGGAGAGGAGGCCGACTTTTGAGTCGACTAAAAAATCACCTGAAGAAGCACGTCAGCGGGCCTATTAAGTCGACTCAAAAGTCACCTCGTTACAATCACCTGAAGAAGCACGTCAGCGCGCCTACCTGACAGCGACAGGGGCGTGATAGCCGAATTGAGATGAGAGGAGGCCAGCAGCAGAGGGACCGAGCACTCGACAGGCCGACATGATGGCATCTGATAGACCCAGCAGCTGACCCACCTGGAAGAGAGGCAGGGAAGAGGGAGAGGGGGGAAGAGATCATGTGGTGTCGTGTCAAGGAGGGACAGTGCTTTTGAGGTGACTTTTGAGTCGAGGTGACTTTTGAGTCGACTCAAAAGTCACCTGGACGGGAAGAGGGAGAGGGAGGAAGAGAGCATGCGGTGTCGTGTAAAGAGGGACAGTGCTTTTGACAGGCCGACACGATGTGGGGCGGAGCACTCGAGACGTTACATTGCTTGGCTTCCCAGCAAGTGATGGTTGAAGAGAAGTGGAGAAGGGAGATGGGAGAAGAGAGCGTACGGTGCCTGCCATCTCGAATGGCGAGCACTCGACAGTTGAACAGACGTAGTTTCCTTTCTTCACACAGCGTGAGCAAGAGGGGAATTTTTTAGGCGCCTAAATAATCGTCTCAGTTCACGAGCACTGGACAGTTTAACAGGCATAGTTTCCTCACACAACGTGTGCAAGAGGGGAAGAGGGCAAGAGGCTTACCTCACTCTGAGCGACAGATGTTGTGAGAAGGGCAGTGTATGTGGTGCGGAGAACACCGGTTGAGAGGGCGAGCGGAGGTAGTAGTAGGATCAGGAAAAGCTGAAGGCAGGGGAGTTGGGATCGGGAGGGTATTTGAGAGTTCTCAAAAGCAACTCCAGCATAAAAAAGGGCGGAAAACACGCAAAAATGGCAGAATAACAGAAGCGAGAGGGCTTTTGCAAAGCACGAAGTGAGAGGCAGAGGAAGAGGCAGATGGAGAAACAGAAGAAGAGGCAGAGAAAAAAGCAGAAGAGGCAGATGGAGAGAGCATGCTACAAGGAGGAACGATTTATGAGGCTGAGAGACACAGCAATGGGTGAAGGAGAGCGAGAAGAAGAAGCAAAGGGAGAGGCAGATGCAGAGAGCATGCTACAAGGAGGAACGCTATGAGGCTGGGACAACAAGTGCTTACAAGGCTGGGAGCAGCAGCAAGCGGGGTGAGGGTGAGTGAGAGCAATAGCAGGCAGGGAGAGGGGGAGGGTAATATAGATTTACAAGGCTGGGGCGCAGATGCTTACAAGGCTGGGAGCAGCAGCGAGCAGGGCGAGAGTGAGGGAGAGCAGCAGCAGGCCGCGGAAAATGAGAGGTGTTTCCGGAAAGTGGCGCAGCAGGGGACGGATAGCAAGGCCCTGTACCAGCGATGTGAGGAGGCCCTGCATTGATATGTGTATAGTGGGGAATCAGGTGCCTAATGAGCGGCACAGCGAGCAGGGCGAGGGTGAGGGAGAGCAGCAGCAGGCCGCGGAAGATGAGAGGCGCTTCTGGGAAGCGACGCAGTAAGGGGCGGATGGCGAGGCCCTGTACGAGCGATGTGAGGAGACCCTGAGAGGTGGGGATAGGAAGAGAGGGACATGGAACCGGATTTGACGGCTCACATGAGGGGCTTTGGACATCAGTGCAGCAAGGGGCGCATGGCGAGGCCCTGTACCAGCGATGTGAGGAGACCCTGAGGGAGGGGAATAGGGTGAGAGGTGGGGATGGTGAGGAGAAGAAGGGGGGGATGAACTTGGGTGGATGAAGGCACACTGGAGGCGTTGCAGCAAGGGGCGGATGGCCAGGCCATGTACCAGCGATGTGCAGAGGTGCTGAGAGAGGGACATGTGAAAAGAGGGGGACATGATGAAGTGATATGGGATGTGAAGAAGAGGGACGAGAAGTGGGTACAAAAAACCAACCATTAGCCACACACCCCAATTTCACCACTCACCACAACTCACCGCCGCTCACCGCCGCTCACCTGCAATGAAAGCAGCAATCCGTTGGTGTGCACGGGGAGGATAAGGCGGTAGATGAGGAGCAGTGAGAAACCCTGGCGGAACACATGCACCGCCAGGAACCACCGCTGGCCACTCACCACCACTCATCACCACTCACCACCACTAATCACCACTCACCACTGCTCACCTGCAATGAAAGCAGCAGCCCGTTGGTGTGGACTGGCAGGTTGAAGCGGTAGATGAGGAGCAGCGAGAAACCCTGACGAAAAAGGTGCACCGCCAGCCCCACAGAGGAACCTGATTTGCCACTCATCACCACTCACCACCGCTCACCACCACTGACCAGCGCACACCACCGCTCACCTGCAGCGAGAGCAGCAGTCTGTTGGTGTGCACGGGGAGGTTGAGGCGGTAGATGAGGAGCAGCGAGAAGCCCTGACGAAAAAGGTGCACTGCCAGCCCCAGCCCCATATCAGGGCCACCATTCGCCACTCACCACCACTTATCACCACTCACCACCACTCACCATCACCCACAACCCCTACCTGCAGCGAGAGCAGCAGTCCATTAGTGTGCACGGGGAGGTTGAGGCGGTAGATGAGGAGCAGCGAGAAGCCCTGCCGGAAGAGGTGCACCGCCAGCCCCAGCACTGCCCGCACCGCCATCAGTGCTGCCACTCGGGGTCGAGTCAGTATGGCCACCTGAGAGGAGAAATGGGGGAGGATGGGAGGGACAATGGAAGGAACTGGGAGGGACGATGAGGGTCCTAGCTTAGGAAAAAAAAAAAAAAAAAAAAAAAACCGGGGTAACCTCTCTACGCATTGCTTGACGTGCCGAGTTTCGATTCAAGGAGTGCAGGTTTCATTCCATGAGGTGCAAAAGTAGTCTCTTGTTTTGAGGCACCTCAAGAGAGAGCACAGCTAACGAGAACAGCCAGAAGAGGATGCTTGTTGTGTTGGAGAAGAGAAGGATAGTGAAGGGAGGAGAGCAATGAGAAGAGAAGAGAAGGATAGTAAAAGGAGGAGGGCAATGCGAGGAGAATAGGGGAGGGGAGGAAGGGTAGGAGAGAAACAGGAGGTAAGAAATGGGAGAAAAAAATTGGGGGAAAAGAAAGTCCATTATTGAGTCCACTCAGAAAGAGTGTCTTACATTGGGAAGGAGACCTTGCAGTGAGAGAACCCGTGTTCTCTTATGGGTATGTGGTGTAATTTCGGCAGAGGGTTTATGCTGTGATTCCAGCTGTGTGACAGTAATGAAGGAGTTTATAGCGTAGAGAAGCGCTGCTGCTGCTGTTGGGAGGGGATAACTGCCTGCCTGGGTGGGAGAAAGGCGAAGGCGGGAGGGAGAAGGAAAGGGGGGAAAGGGATGGGAGAGGAAGAGGCAAAAAAAGAAGCAGAAAGAGAGAAGAGGCCTTATGTTTCGTTCATTCCCCCTCAAGTTACTCACTGGTGTCCTTCGGAAAAGAGTTGAGGAAATTGAAGAGGATGCATGGGAATTGCAAAAGCAGACAATGATAAGTGATACAGAGGGGCAGCAGGCAAGCCATGCTCCCTCTAGGTTTTTGAGACGTCTCAAAACTCGAGGGAGCAGCCCATGCTATTACTTGCCCCCTGAGTTATGATCTCTTTGAAAGCCCACCCCATTGTTGAAGGTGAATTTTGAGTCAACTCACAAGTCATCTCGAAAAGCACAGGAAAGGGTTGTCATGAACATTGAGCAACGGCTTATTTTAGCAAGACCTACTTTAAATAGCATGCCACCCACTGCAGGGCCGACCATGATGCCCAGAGCCGATGCTGTTGCCATCCTGTGGGAGCGATTTGGAATGTGGAGAGGCATGCGGGAATGAGCACTTGCACAAGAAGGGGGAGGCACAACAGCAGTGCTCATTCCTGCTGGCCATGATGCCCAAAGCTCATGCTGTTGCCATCCTGTTATGGTGGAGTGAATTGGAATGTGGGGAGGCAGGCAGGCATGAGCAGTTGCACCAGAAGGGGGAGGCACAACAGCAGTGCTGGCCATGATGCCCAAAGTTGATGCTGTTGCCATCCTGTTATGAAGGAGTGGAATGAGAGAACGGTGGCGAGGCAGCAATGGTGGCGAGGCAGCAATGGTGGCGAGGCAGCAACGGTGGCGAGGCAGCAAGGGTGGCGAGGCAGCAACGGTGGCGAGGCAGCAATGGTGGCGAGGTAGCAACGGTGGCGAGGCAGCAATGGTGGCGAGGCAGCAATGGTGGCGAGGCAGCAACGGTGGCGAGGCAGCAAGGGTGGCGAGGCAGCAACGGTGGCGAGGCAGCAATGGTGGCGAGGTAGCAACGGTGGCGAGGCAGCAACGGTGGCGAGGCAGCAATGGTGGCGAGGCAGCAACGGTGGCGAGGCAGCAATGGTGGCGAGGCAGCAACGGTGGCGAGGCAGCAATGGTGGCGAGGCAGCAATGGTGGCGAGGCAGCAATGGTGGCGAGGCAGCAATGGTGGCGAGGCAGCAACGGTGGCGAGGCAGCAACGGTGGCGAGGCAGCAACGGTGGCGAGGCAGCAATGGTGGCGAGGCAGCAATGGTGGCGAGGCAGCAACGGTGGCGAGGCAGCAATGGTGGCGAGGCAGCAACGGTGGCGAGGCAGCAATGGTGGCGAGGTAGCAACGGTGGCGAGGCAGCAACGGTGGCGAGGCAGCAATGGTGGCGAGGCAGCAACGGTGGCGAGGCAGCAATGGTGGCGAGGCAGCAACGGTGGCGAGGCAGCAATGGTGGCGAGGCAGCAATGGTGGCGAGGCAGCAATGGTGGCAAGGCAGCAATGGTGGCCAGGTAGCAATGGTGGCAAGGCAGCAACGGTGGCGAGGCAGCAACGGTGGCGAGGCAGCAATGGTGGCGAGGCAGCAATGGTGGCGAGGCAGCAACGGTGGCGAGGCAGCAATGGTGGCGAGGCAGCAATGGTGGCGAGGCAGCAATGGTGGCGAGGCAGCAATGGTGGCGAGGCAGCAACAGTGGCGAGGCAGCAATGGTGGCGAGGCAGCAACGGTGGCGAGGCAGCAACAGTGGCGAGGCAGCAATGGTGGCGAGGTAGCAATGGTGGCGAGGCAGCAATGGTGGCGATGCAGAAAGGATTGAGCGAAAGGGGGGAAGATAGCACGGGTGGTGGAGAGGCAGCAGCTGCGTGAATGCCCCCACCCATGCCCCTGCCCTTGCCCATGCCCCTGCCCTTGCCCATGCCCCTGCTCATCCCCTTGTCCCTGCCTCTGTCCCTGCTTCTGTCCCTGCCCCTGCCCCATGCCTGGATGCAGGGGCCATGCTGTGCCCCTGCCCATGAGATGGCAGGAGGAGATGGCATGGCGTGGCATGGCATGGCATGGCATGGCATGGCATGGCATGGCATGGCATGGCATGGCATGGGATGGTACGGCACGGCATGACCCAAGCAAGCAGGCCGCTCACCTGCCCAGCTCTACGGCTCTGTTGGTGGCTGTGGTGTGACCGGCCACATACGCGTTCCCTGCATTCATAATGTGCTTGGTGCTCAATGTGTGGTGCTTGACTGACTTCTCAAGGGAAGGGAATGGATGGAATGGCCTCACCTGCCCAGCTCCACGGCTCTGTTACTGGCTGTGGTGTGATCCGCCACATACGCCTTGACTGCATTCATGCTGTGCCACGCGCCTCACCTGCCATCACCCAACCAAACATCGCCCCACCCGCCCAGCTCCAAGCCCCACCCGCCCAGCTCCAAGCCCCACCCACCCAGCTCCAAGCCCCACCCGCCCAGCTCCAAGCCCCACCTGCGTCTCACCTGCCGAGCTCCACGGCTCTGTTGGTGGCTGTGGTGTGATCCGCCACATACGCCTTGACTGCATTCATGCTGTGCTTGGTGATGCCCAGTAGCACACGAGAGATCACCACCATCTGAAGGGATCAGGAGGGAGATCAAAGAGGAAGCTTCGGAGTAAGGTAGGTTTGAAGGGGTATTCACAGGAGGTGGGGCTGCAAAGGAGGTTCAAAAGGGCGGAAATTCGACACTGAAAAGAGTCTTGAAGTAGAACTGATTGAGTGTACATGCAAGAAAACGAGCCTAGCAGATTTTCACTTGCGAGGGGACATGTAAGGAAAGAGATGTCACACGTGCATTGGGAGTGAGGCACGTTTCTCTCACCGTGACGGTGCTGCTCTGCCCCAGCAGCAGGTAGCTGGCCCCTGCGCCTGCATACGACACCAGAATGACAACCCGCCTCCCCATGCTGTCACTCAGCAGACCCTGCGGAAGGGACACACGGTGAGCACAGGAGAGAGGCTGAGAGGAAAGTCGGCAACAGGTGTGTTTCAAGGTCACACCTACAACCAGCAGGAGCAAACAGATCGTGTTGAGACCAACCCCAGATGGAACGTTGGCGACGGTTTGTTATTCAGGGTGAGAAAAGAGCTTTTTTTTTTTTCTTTTTAATCTCAAGAATGACTCTAACAAAGGCTCGTTGTTCAGAGTAAGAGGAGAGCACAAACAAAACGATGAAGAGAGGCCGGCTTACAAAGAATGGCCCAGTTACGAGTTGCACAGCACCGTATGTGGACGAGAGGAAGCCGACCTGTGGAGGAGACGCTCCTAACGCGGACAGGAGGGTTCAGGGGCAGCATACCCGGTACCGAGGGGGAGGAACAGGAGGGGGGGCGCAGGTTGAGGCGCATGGGGAAAGGGGCAGGAAGAAGGGGCAGTTGGACGGGGCAGGGAGAAGGCGCAGGATGGGAAGGCAGGGAGAGGTGGGGGAGGAGAGGGGGCAGGGGGTAAGGGCAGGGAGGGAGAAGGGGCAGTAGATGTGTGATCAGTGGAATGGATTCATTCTGCCAGAAATGGAACCTTTTTTATTTAATTAGCACACCTAGCTCCCTAATTAGTAGCGCACACACACCTAGCTCCTTAATGAGTGGCGTGACGAGCGGCATGGCCATGCCCACTGCAAACAGGTCCAGGAACACGACGACCAATATCACCACGCCACGTGGCACGCCCTTCTCTGCGCCTGCAGCTGGCGGCATCCCCTCCCTAATCCGCACAGTGCTTCTTCCCCCCGTTACAACGTCCTGTCCGTCCCCGTACTCGTTATTGCCCGTCCCGTTAAAGGATCCTTTCTCCAAAAGGGCATCCGTCTCTCGGCCCGTCGAGTCACCGCTGTACATCCACGATACTGTTCCGTCGCCGCTACATACGTCGCCTCCTTCAACTCCTCCGCCAGTCTTTCGCGCGGAACTGTCCGCCGCCTGCCATCTCTCCGCCAATAACCGCTCCCCCTCCTCATTCATTTCCGCTTCCCCCACCCGCGGCATTCGCGCTCGCCGCTTGAATCACACTGGCGCCATCAGCTGCAGCACTTATTCTACGACAATTTCCCCGCTATACGCTGATTGAATAAATGCGCAAGTCATGGGGGCCTAGGGTCAAGCACACGAAACTGGCGGTACATAGAAACGTATAATCGCCATTGCTGGAATCGCGAAATCGAGACCTAATTACTCCTACTATCGAATTGCTAGTGGCGAGCACTAGGTTCTATCCCGAGAATGCTGCATGCCTTTCTGAACGAGGCCTGCAGCTGACGGCAAGTGAGACGAAAACGGAAAGCTCGGGTGCGGAAAAACGGCGCACTCGAAGTCAGAGAATCCGAGCTTCTCGAAGTTAGTTCCAGGTTTGAAACGCGACGCGACCTAAAAGCGTCGTCACTGCGGCCAATGCGGTACAGCAGCGCCACATCCCAGTGTACAGAGAGTCATTAGTGTTTTTCTTTTTCATTATTCAGAGTGCAGTTCTCAGCTGGAGAAATTTGTTACCCTACCTTTATGTCGAATACATCTGCTTCCCAAACCAAGTCTGAATACAAACGCTGACTTGACACTACAAGCACACTAATTACATTGATCACATCACAACAAGTAACCTCATAGAAACAATCAGGGGTAGGAAGTCTGGCAAGTCAGCTGATGTTCCCTGATGCCTTGCCAGCATTCCTGCCCCTGATGCTTTTGTTGGGAACAAACAATCTTAAGCGCCTCTGTCGTGTCGAAACACCAAGGCACAAGCGAAGCAGAGCATATCGAGGCACCAGCGAGTCAACCCTCGGAGGTTGAAGTAACCGCTGGAGGTTACGCGAAAGTCAAAGGTCAGCGACCTTTGACTTGACAAATGCAGCGCGACAGCAAGGACACACAACTGACTCGACATTGAGCAGTTGCCCGAGTCGCACTGTATCGAACCGCAACAGTAAAACAGTTTAATTATATCTCTTCGTATTCTTTGTACTCTTATATAAACCTTTGTACTTGCTTGTTTTAATCAACTTACTTTGCCCTCACATACCAGCGCAAGGTGGTTCAAGGACTTCATTTAAACGCTTCCGCTACTACATCACTCTACCCAGAGTTTAACCCTACCAAAGATCCTAAGGGGCACTCAGCCCAACATGGTATGAGAGCTGGTTAGGGTTAAAATTATTTCTCCTTAACACCTAATACACCAAGAGACATGTCTACCAGAAAGGAGAGGAGCTCCTCCAACGGCTCTCCTGGTACTACTCCTACTCCACCTCCTGCCTCTGGCCTACAGACAGAGGAAGGCACAACAACGAGACCGGCAGCTGGGTCTACTGAAACACCCGCAAACCAAGGCGCGGGCTTCGATCCAAGCATGATGGAGAAGTTCTTCTCCTTCATGTCCTTCTACGAGCAGCATCAGCAAGGAGCACCTGCGCAATCAAACAACAGCAACAACAACAACAACGTGACGCCCATGAGTCTCGATGGCTCATCCTACGCACGCGGGAATCAACAACAGCAACCTACCTTCGCTCCGTACGAGCCCCAGCGCGGCTCCGTCAGCTTCATGCCACAACCACAACCTGCACCGGGACAAGAGAGAACGCTGGACGCACTACAAGTTCAGTCGCAGTTCGCGCACGTTCTAAATCTGCAAACGACAAAACCCTTCGACGGGAAGGATTTCTTTACCTGGTCGTTCGAATTCGAGCTGATGATGGAAGGAGCGCAAATCCTTGGCTTCTTCGACGGGTCCCTGCCATACCCAACAAACGGCACACAGTATGAGAAGCAGCAGTACACCTATCAATCGATGATGGCGTACACGATACTACTGAGGAACATCACTCCAACTCAACAACAAAACATACGGTCTTACCGAGGCTACGGCAACTCCGCGGAGCTCGCGTACAATCACTTGAAGAGCCTGTATCAAGCAACAGACAGCGTAAACCAAAGTCGGTTAATGGCGCAGCTGACAACAATCGAAATGAAACCAGGCGAGAAGGGAATGGCGTATATCAGTCGCTGCCGCGAGCTGCGCGACAAGCTTCTTCGATGTGGAGGATCGATTTCAGAGGACGCCTTCGTCACGGTTGTCATCGGCGGTCTTGGTCCTCACTGGCGCTCCACTCGCGCCATACTACGAGCCCACGGGAAAATTTCTGAAGCAGCACTTTGCGCCGAAATCCACGCCGAGCAGCAAGACATGGACCTGCAAGAAGAATGACACAAGAGAAAGGTATCAGTGCCCGAATTCGCGTTTCACACTCAACGGCGCCACAACAACAACAACAATCGACCGAAAATCGTACCTCCGTTCTGCCACCTCTGCAAGACTTCAGGGCATCCTCGTACGCACTGCCCGAATCGACAACAGTCAACGTCGCCGCAACGCCAACTTCGCCCTTCAAGCAGTCAAGTCGCCTCAACGCAAGCAAATCCGACAACTTCAGTACAAGTCTCAACAACATCGACGGGACAACCTGCGAAAGGAACAAGAAACATCGTCAGCTGCATGGCAAGGCTGAGTGACTCCTGCGTAACTGAGTCACCACCATATTACTCACCAGAAGAACAACTCGACAACAGCACGCCTCGCCGCGAGTCACTTCAACCGAACCCGACGTACGCCGCCATCGCTCAAAGCGAGCCGTCCGGGAAGGATACATGGTTCTTGGACAGTTGCTGCGGACAACATACGTGCTCTTCAGGACGTTTCGTTCAACGCGAGCACCAACTTCAACGAGAAGTCGTCATCACTGTCGCCAATAATCAGAACCTGCGCACACGACGACAAGGAGTAGTGCAACTTCAGTCACGAGAGACGAATGTCATACTGCAAATGTCCAAAGTCCTAATAGCAGAAGGACTTGGCTACAACTTACTGAGCGTCAGTCAGTTGATGGCGAAAGGCATACATCTGGAAGCCGACAGTACCACCCAGGAGTTCAAGCTGTACCACGGGAAGGGCGGCCTCTACATCGGAAAGGCGGTCCTGAAGAACAATGTCTTCGTTCTCGATTTCGTCCCAGACCTGGGCACCGCAGACAGTGACGGGATCGTCACCTTCACATCTTGGACGCACCCGCCGGATCTCGACCCCGACTTCAGTCCGGAAGGCTTTTGGTATTCACATACCATTCCTGAAGCAGAACGAACACGTGCGTTAGTAACAATACAACATTCGGCAGCAGCAGAGACAACATCGGCAGCAGCAGAGACATCATCGGCAGCAGCAGAGACATCATCGGCAGTAGCAGGAACAACAACAGTAGCAGCAACAACGACACCACTCCTCGTTGACGAAGCACCACCAACACCCGCACAGCAGCTGAATCCGGCTCAACGGGAAGTCCATAGAAGCGCAAACTTCACCGCCAGCTTCTACTCCAACTCCGACGCGTATCGACGCTCACCCGGACACCGCGCCTCCGAAGACATCTGGCACGCACGCATGGGACACCCAAGCAACACTGTGTTAAACAACACAATAAGAGCAGGAGTCCTTGACAAGGACTCGTTACTACTACTCGACGGCAGAGAACTTCAACGGGCACGAGGAACATGTCTTACCTGCCCCGAAGCCGACTTACCACATCGGCCGTTCACTCCTCATCACAACCCGAGCACACCCGCGTACGCACCACTCGTAAAGGTGTATAGCGACATCCTGTACAATCGGGAACCAGGACAAGTAATATACAACTACACAATCACCTTCATCGACGCCGCCACCCGTTACGTCTGGCATCTAAACCTACCCAGCCGCGACATGGTCCTCGAAGCATTCGCTGCTTGGCTACCAGTAGCAGAAAGAGAGTCGGGCGTAAAGCTGAAAAGCTTCCAGTCTGACGGAGGAGGAGAATACACCTCTCAGCGATTCAAGCAGTACCTGGCGGAAAGGGGAATCAAGCAGCTCCTCTCTCTTCCCTACGCCCATCAGCAGCAAGGTGTAGCAGAAAGAATGAACAGGACTCTGCAGAACAGCATGCGCAAACTGTTGCGTGGCATGCGGCTACCCAACCACCAGTGGCCTGACGCGATGGACCACGCTGTCATGCTGCACAACTTGCTCTCATCTTCATCACTACCGAACAACGCATCACCGCATCTGCTGTGGACAGGAAAAAGGGCAGCACAAAAATGTTACGAGTGTTCGGATACATGGTACAGTACCGACCCCCAGCAGCACGAGCGGGCCGATTTTCACAACGCGCACAGTGGGGACTACACCTCGGCATCGAAAAGAACTACAACGCGTGGAAAATCTTTGACGTCCACTCCAAGGAAACAGTAGCAGCACGCGACGTCATTTTCTACGAACGACTCACGCTCCAGACATACCTTGCCAACCTGCAAGAGGACCAAGATCCCACAGGTGGTTTTCGTGGTGACCGAGCCTTCGCCTCGGCAGCAGACGAAGCTGACTGGGACGAGCAGAATGTGGCCAACGCATCAGAAGAAGCTGGACCCCTTCCGTTCTGCTCCGTCGACGTCCCCATGGACGAAGATAACCCTCGCGAAAGTGTCAACGCCGAAACCTTCTACTACTTCGCCGACAACGGTTACGTAACACCTGCGACAGTCAACACCAACGAAGCAGAACGAGTAGGACCGAATTTCATACCTGATCCAGAAGCGGGAGATGAAGCAGCTTATCCCGAGGATGCAACTCTTCCCCGCTACTCACAGACTGGACTGCAGATTCTCGGACTCGTCACCGCAGTCCACGGCAACACTCTTCCTAAGGAGCCTGCGACGATTCAGCAGGCTCTGGGGGGGGAACACAGGGAAAAATGGCGTGAAGCCATGGACAGAGAGTTAAAGGCGTTGGAGGAACGGAACACCTGGAAAGTTGTCCCCATCAG